GGACAGCAAGTGATTTTTGACTGTTCATTGCATTTGAAAATTCCCAAGCTTCAGAGAGCCAGTAAAATCCAAACATCTTTCAGAGGTGCCTCTTCCTCATGTAGATGTAGAGTGGGGAAAGTGTGACCTCCATATGTTAAGTGTACTGCCACTCCCATCAGCCCTAGCCAGCACAGCCAATAGTGATGGATGTTAGGAGTATCAGCCCGCCAACATCTGGGGTGACAGGTGTTCCCCATCTCTCACACAGATGGTTACTCTGAGAAGGCAGTGAGACACAGAGCAAGGAATGCGTGGTTTCATTGAGAAAGACCAGCCCAAAAGGCTAGAGATAATTTGAAATGATGATGGAGCAGCACTGCCATGAGGTACTTCTAATTAATTCCTATTGTTAGGGGAAGGGGAACAGGTAATCTCTCACTCTCTTTCTTTGGAGTTACAATGAAGCTGTTATAAACTGTTCCCAACCCTGTTTTTTTTATTTTGGTAACACTAAATGTATGGCAAGGGGCATTTGCAGGAACAAGTTGTAGGGGCTTTCACAGGAAGTTGCCACTGGCCAGGTCAAAGTAGTTTCCCACCTTGCCCGGTATTGTCGTTTCTGAGCAGGAGCGGTTCTCCAGAGTGTCAGGCAGAGATCTTTCTTCTCAGCTGCTGTTTTTAAATAGATGCATTTGGAATTGAACCCACAGGTCAGTCATGCATACTGCCACTAAACAGTGGCATCTAAACATGCCCCTCGTTGCCATTTTAACCTACTCCTTCCACCTAGAATCTGAATACTGGAAATAAAGCCCAAAGGGAGGAAAACCATCCAGGAGTGTTTGCAGGAAAGAATCAGCACACACACCCTTCCATTGTCTATTGCCACCCCTTCCCCTTTCCAATCCTAATACATCTAACAAATAAATAAATTCCTTATAAAGCCTTCCCTACCTATGGACTCACTGGAGATTAGCTAACACTTGAAGCTCCACTTATGAGTTCTATAATGTAAGTGGTAGTTTCTACCCTGGGTTTCTCTTAACCTTAATTTACAGGACCTGTTTTAAAAATCACTTCAGCAATAACTGTAAATTTTCGTATAAGCCTTCTGTTAATAGGAAAATGATCGTGAGAGTAATCTGCAAAAACATAGTGATACAGAACATGTCAGCATGCTGAGTAGGCATGTGAAATTTCTGGACATTTTCCCTATTGTTGATGATTTGACTGATCATTTGTTTCCTCATATGTTTCAAGGGGGAAAAAAGTGGGAAGATTTTTTTTTTAAATAATGCCTTTTTAGTGCTCGATACAGATCTAAAGTCACTTGGTTGTTTTAGGACAGCGTTCTCCAGCCTGTTGCTCTCCAGTTATTTTGGATTTCAGTTTCTGGCAACCTCAGGTCAAGAATTCTGTGCATTGCAGTCCAACACATTTGGAAGGCACCAGGTTGGAGAGAGATGTTTAAGAGGAGCATAAATGGGAAACTTGAGTGTGACTTGGAACATCCCTAAATGTATGTCTGCAGATGATACTTTAGATGGATCATTTTAATATAGAAAGAAATAGCTCTGCGGGGGAATCTGCAGAGATTATTGACAAATGTTTCCCCCACGGCTTCATTATTCCAGGATGTTTTGCATCTCTGTTCTTCTTATAGAAGTGTTCTTATTGCATAGTTTTTAGAAACTGGGAGTAGTAAATATTGGATATCAATAAATCAACACAATATCTATTTATTGTCTTAATTCTATAAAAGATTTCATAATGCAAAGCTTCTCAATTTCTGGGAGAGAAACAGGAGGGAAATGGAAAAAGATACTGATTTTTTTCTTCTGAAATCCTTTAGTTTTTTAGCATGGCAGTATTATGAGATGGTGGAAACAGTCTTAAATCAAACTTGCAAAATCTTTTGTGTAAGTTCACTACTTATCTTTGGGTTGTTCTAAAATATGTTTAGATTATTCCTCTTGCTAACTAGATTCCTCCAGGCCAATTTTCAGACTGATATAAATCTTTATTTTTTTTCTTTTTCTTTTTTGGGGTGTACAGACTTTTCAGCAGTTACCATTATAACCGAGGGGAAGGGGGAGAGTAATCCCTGAACTACATACAGCTGCTCTTTCAGTTCTATAAGACACTTTTGGTACACTGTTACAACTCAAGTAAAAATAGTTATCAGAAAACTTAAGGCACTTTACCACTAGAAAACTGTTGATTTTAGTTTGCTGAAGCTTTGTTATAATTTACCCTTATGCAGAAAGAATGTGTCCATATATATTAAAGTATACATTTTGGATTGTTCAGGTAATTAGTAATACATTGGTTGCTAATTGTTTTCATATGAAACAGACTTGAGTATCCCAAATGATTCAGTAAGTTAATTCTAAACATAGGCAAAAAGGGTGCTGCTACAGTGTAATTATGATTCATGTTTGTGCATCCAGTAGCCTATTTATTTATGTGGTGCTTTCAAAGATTATAGTTGACTCACATCACGTGCAAAATGTAGATTTGTTTTTTACATCCTCGGGCTTAGTATGAATATGTAGTGTGAATAATGCTAGCAGATACAGCTTCACAGTTGGAACTTCACTGAGCAGCGGCTGTATATGTTGATGGGGTAGTATATCCTTTTGGAAAAGTTATACACCCTGGAGGTACTTCTGGATCCAGCATCATTAGTTGCCAGGTAGCAGCTATGGCAAAAGGAGTGTGTAACTGATACTCATTATGCTTCTCCTAGGAACCTTGCTGCTATTGATGTATTTGTAACTATGAGCATCAACTAATTGTGCACATTAAACTACTCTCATTTGACTTTTCACCTTAAAAGTATTTTTATTACATCTCTATTTGTGCTTTGTCAATAAAAAAGGACAGACATCCCCCATCAAAGGCAAGTACAAATAAATCTCCCCTTCCTGGGACCATTACTGCTAATGTGGCAGCAGATAGGAATAGCACCCCAGTGTTGGAGTTGCAGTGTTACTTAGGGTTTGAGTTATGCAAAGAGATGCTCCTACACATAACATAGACCCCCCCATATACGCGCATGTGCGCACGTGCACACGCACATCTCATTCTCTCTCTTTGACCTTGTTTGCATGACACAACAGCCCTTGGGTTATCCTACTTTGTACAGTAGTGGTCTGTCCCAGCTGCCATTATGAATATGCAACCCCAGCTAGGTTTATTGGTAATTATCATTTTGTACTGGTGGTGGGAGGATTATTTTAGGACTGAGCAACCCTTTCCTAACCCTACTGTGGACTGTTGTTTTACCCTCAATTAACCCCTGCCATTTTCCAATAACAGTTGGGAACTGTGTAATGGCAGATGGCATCTGCCACAATCCCTCAATAGCCATGATAGCCATGATAGGCTATCATTTCTCCTCCACCCCCTTCTCTCTCACACACACAGGGGGCAGGGGGAGAGACTTGCTATCTTACATGGGGATTGCTAATCCCCTTCTTCCAAGCAAATAACCAAGTGTACCTTATAGTATATTAATCCTCTAAATAACTGCTTAGCCAAATAAGGTCCTCAGAAATAAGTATTTTTTCAAATCCAAGTTTTGTTTTCCTGTTGCTTGAATGATGGTAGAACATATTGTGAAAGCGGAGGAGTGTCTAAAGTCTGCTTCCTCCTCCCTGATCTCAGTTGCCACCCTTTCCCCTAGAAAGCTTTGCCTTTTACATTATTTCTTGATTATAGTCTGACAGTTCGTATGGTGGCAAGTCTTTACAGGGTATCGACTTTGTTTCATTTGGAATGTTTGCCTTTTTCTTTTAGAGAGAGAGAGAGAGAAAGAATCCTCATAAAGTCTGATGATGTCATGTTGCTGTTTTTTATACTCCTGTAAGGAGGAGGCCTAATATGTTCCCTGTTTGGGGAGGAGCTGTTGAGTAATTAAATGATTCACTGGTTTCTCTATTAAGCTGCCTTCCTTGAAACTTGGTTGTACATCATTCAGGACGGGTTTGTGGATTAGCTTTCGGCTAAGCTACAACAGCAGGCATGTGGCTGCTTTGTTCAGATCATGCACTGGGAACAGCTATTGCGCCTCAGAAAAGTCAAGGTAGGCTAGAAAAAGAAGAATGCTTTCTTTCCTGTACAAAGCAAGCCTGGAAGATTTAATTTTCATTAAAAATCTGAGTATTTAAAGTAATTCACTGTTTGAGAAGAGACTGTATGTTAAGTTAAAAAGCTAATTTAATTTTCTTGTACATTTTTCTGTAAATACTTCCTGTGTAGGCTTCAGCACATGTCAGTATAATTTTGTTTAGGCAAGTTTCAACTAAGAACAATTGCCTGGAAACTTCTGATAATGCCTTGACTTTTATACCTCACCTTGTTGAATAAGCCTGCCTTCTTCTCTCTACTTAGCCATTTGCACCAATATGCTCCTGTTTGTGCTGAATGAGTCAGTGAAGGGGTGGAATGGAAGCTCCTCTCTGGATATAGATCGTGGCTGTTTCAGATCTGGGAATGCTAGTGATAAGTGCTGTTATTAGGTCATGTGGAAGGAACATGGGAGTTGCAGTTGTACAGTTTATGAAGGATTAGGGTACTGTATATAGTTATTAGGTTTATTTGATACACAAACGAGTTATTCTGTTGCCTATTTTATTTGGAATACATTTTTTGTGAGTATTTTTTTGCTCTCTCTGTCCCATAAAGTAATGTGTATGACAGTGGTAGATAAATTTCCTCTGTACTTTTCTACTGTTCACTTTATTTACGCTAGCGCTGCTGGCTGACAACTCTTCTCTCTGTTTTTCCAAGTATTCAGAAAATGAAAAGGCATATAGATATTATTCTCATTATTGTAAAGACTGAGATTCCACCTGAACATTGAACAATAACATCTAAAGAAAGCAGATCCAATTACTTATCATAACATTACAAATTTATTAAGTAGATTGTTTCACTTTCAAGAGGATGTATTTTAGATGAGCTTTGCCGTTATCAAAGCAATCTTTAATGTCATTTTTTTATTCCTTCTCCAGATCGAGCGGTTAGATGTAAGCAGCCTAGCACAAACGTCTAGCGCAGTGGCCTCAAGCATAGACTGCAGCATCAATGCAGACTCTGTTGATGGAACACCAGATCCTCAGCGTACGAAAGTGGCCATCACCCACCTGCAGCAGAAAATACTGAAGCTGACAGAGCAAATCAAAATAGAACAAACAGCTCGGGATGACAATGTGGCAGAATATCTGAAATTAGCCAATAATGCTGACAAGCAACAGAGTGCCCGCATCAAACAGGTCTTTGAAAAGAAGAACCAGAAGTCTGCCCAGACAATCCTCCAGTTGCAGAAGAAGCTAGAGCACTACCATCGGAAGCTACGAGAGATTGAACAGAATGGCATCCCTCGACAGCCCAAAGATGTCTTGAGGGATATGCACCAGGGGCTAAAAGATGTGGGAGCAAGGGTCACTGGATTCAGTGAAGGAGTTGTAGATAGTGTTAAAGGTGGACTTTCCAGTTTCTCCCAAGCAACCCATTCAGCAGCAGGTGCTGTCGTCTCCAAACCCCGGGAGTTTGCCTCGCTCATTAGGAACAAGTTTGGGAGTGCAGACAATATTGCTAATCTGAAGGATGCTTTGGAAGAAGGTCAAGAAGATGGGAGTGGGGGAAAGACTTTAGGCATTCATAACTTTCAGTCAAGTCCAAAATATGGCAGTGAGGAAGATTGTTCCAGTGCCACATCAGGCTCTGTGGGGGCCAATAGTACCACAGGGGTCCCTGTGGGAGCGTCAAGCTCCAAAACAAACACTCTGGATATGCCAAGCTCAGGTTTTGATACAATACTGCATGAGATTCAAGAGATCAGAGAGATGCAAGCACGACTGGAGGAATCCTTTGAGACCCTCAAGGTTCACTATCAGAGGGATTATTCCTTGATAATGCAGGCTCTGCAGGAAGAAAGATACCGGTGAGCATTTAGAAGTCCAACATTTCACTGATACTACTAACATTAAGGCACATCCAGAATAATCTGGATACATAATTCACCCATTAACAATCCTATCTTTCTTTTACAAATCATCATTTGGCTGATATGTTCCTACCCACCCCTTTCTTACATGCTTAAGTTTATTTTCACCCCTAGTCTTCTTGCTACATATCATGACACATCAGTTCTGAATCCCTGTCCTAATTTTTGAACTTTTTGTAAGGCTGTGCTACAGTTTCCCATCCCATTCCATAGATCCAGACTTGCTGAATATGGAATTTTTATGCACAGCCTTTTCTGATTACCTTTGTGCATTGAGGATTGAGCGAGGAGAAAGCCTGCTAAGACATGGATATTGAGTGCTGTAATGACTTGTTTGTGCTCTCAAAATGTATTGCACGGGTTACAACATTCCATTGAAATAATGCCTCTGTAAAGGTATGCCCTAGTTCCAGGCACACCAAACATTAAGGAATATTTGCTCTTGCACCTTCAGTATTTATTACATGTTGAAAACAATTAAATTCTGATATGATATTAATAGCATTTCTTCAGCTTTACTCAAACTAAGCATGAGTGGAGCCTGCTCCATTGCGCAGTAAAAATTGTTCAGAATTTTTTCTTTTACCATGTTTTGTAAGCTCTTCCTCGGAGGCTAGATCCCTAGAAGCAGTACTGTTGAGCTTTGGCTGGTTCTCTGTCTTCTCCAGCTCTTAATGTAATATTGCACTGATCCATTAAACTTGATGCTGTTTTTCATTATTCTTAATTATGAGAAAGGTGTTTAACCATGCAAATAAACTAGTATGGCTAAAATACCAATCTTAAATTGAGTGCTGAGGGATTAACAGGATCTTAGCCATTCTCATTTCGGTTTATTAGTTATTGACAGTCTTAGCTTCACAATGCTTACATTCCTTAGCAGCATAAATCAGCTTTATGATACAGCAGTACATTGTCACTTGATGACCTTGACGTAGGTACTCTAATTTAAAAATAAAAATATCCTAAGTCATTTCTGTGGTGTTATCTAATTGTAGAAACATAGAAACAGATTGAGTCAGAAGGGGTCTCCCGGGCCATCTAGTCTGACCTCCAGCACCAGGCGGCTCTGCTCACAACATTATACATGCTAAAAAATATTATATAGCCAACCATAGCAATTATGTGTTACAAATAGTCCAATAAACCCGTCTGAAGTTTGGTAAAAACTAGAACTGAGTCAGTAGATTAAGTGGTCCTTTGTATTCCTTGGACAGGCAGAAATAAGCAGGTCCTCTCAATGTCTAAAAATCTGCATTTGGAGGGATCTGAATTTTTTCCACCAATGTGTCGCACAGCTGGGCATATGAAGTTGTCTTATATCTACTGGGCCATCTAACCCTGCTAATTGCTCATAGAAGAGTATTAATTTAACAGTTTTGGGGAGCTCTGTTCCTAGGAAAATTTGCCTTCTCAAGACAAATCTAATAACCAAAACCAGGAGCCGTATAAACATTTTTCTTTTCAATTAGGAACAATAATCTAGCCTTTAATGCAAAGCAGAAATCTTGTTGTCTTCAGACTTTTTCCATCAGTGTGGAAACTTTTTTCCTGGCAGTTTTTATGTCACCATTCTAGGATAACAGATAAAAAAGAGTATTGTATCAAAAGCCTTAGTATAAATTACCTTTATTGCCTTTTCAGTGTGGTTAGGTGTTTTCCTTGATTCCAGGTTGAGAGATTAGTAAAGGTCATTTTAAAACATCTCACAGATAAGTTATTAGTCTCCTGAGAGAGATATTTCCAACAAAACACTGAAACATGGGACAGTTTGTTGAATACCACAGTGAAACTAGTATAGATTTCAGGCTACATGTTGCTCCAGTTCTGTGGATAAAAAATGCCCAAGTAGATTTATGATTCCATTTTTGCAATGGTGGGAAATCTGTCCCTGCAGATGATGTTGACTACAACTTCCATCTGCCCTAACCAGCATGTACAGTAAAACATCTGGAGGGTCATTTATTCCCCATTCTTCACCAAAGAGTTCAGATTCCTGTTTCTAATTGGTTTTCTCTAACAAAAGTGTTTGTCTAGTTTGTTTGTCATTCCATTTTGCTTGTGGCCTGCCTTCTCCCTGGCACTGCAGTTGGTTTTGTGTTCACTGGATTTTGTAGTTGCTAGAGCAGTCTCTCCTTCTGATTCTTCTCCTCTCTACCTCCTAGACACCTTTTAAGGACAGTATGATTTCTGCAAGTTACTTCTTTCCTGTACAGTAATCCTAACATGTTGTTAAAAGTTAGGCAAAAGCTGTGCTGGCTGCCTATTGGACAGATTGTGTGGCCTCATAGTCCAGACAGATGAGCCACTCCTTTTAGTTCTCTTTGGCAATTCAGCTCTACTTTCATCTCTGTCTTTTTGTAATGGCTGCTTTATCAGCCAGATCAAACTCCAAAGCAAGCTCTTGCTTATCAGCTTTTAGAATGATGTTTATGGGTTAAAAAAAAAACTTCCTGCCATTGTAAGAGTTCAAGTTGAGTCTCTTGTTACAGTTCATGTCCCACTGCAAGCTTTTTTTTACATTTGCTGTAGAAGTACTAAGAAATATGAGGTGCAAAAAATTACACAGTTCATTTTCTTTGTACCTCAAACCACCAGTTTTCACAAACCACACTGAGCAACTCAACTGAGCTGTTAAGCTGCATTTGTTTTATCATTTTTGAAAGCTTGGAGCTTCAAAATCATGCTGAACAAAGTGGAACTGTAGAACAGTTATATGCTTAAGCTTACAGCCTAAATCTACACAGGAACATCCTGTGCCACAAGCATTTTCTTTTATTTATTAAAGTATGCAATTGCAGTTTGGAAATGGAAGAAACAGAAAGCAAAATGCTGAATTTGATTAATGCCTCTTGTTTCTAGATCAAGGCATTTGGTTATAAAGAACTGTGGCAGCACATTTCAATTAACTCACTGCTTTATGAGTCCTTTAGACTTTATAGCAGTGGTTTGGGAGCTGCTTTCCCATGGTTTCTTCCCACAGTGCTGCTGTGGCACCTGAGGATAACCTTAGATATCACACTGTTCAAGACAAAGCAGGGTACTGCATCAGAAACAATATTTTTGCCTTACAGTGGGTTAAATTTTCATAAAATATAAGGCTCTTTACAGCTATCTATATAAACTCGATTACCCAGGCTGCACATACCCAACTAGAAGACATAGTTAAGTATTCTTGCTTTCATGTTTAGAAGAGAGAATCATAAGCTCAATAAAATCATAAATAGTAATGGGTTTGCAGAAATTCTATTTAGCAGTAAACTCCATTGAGTTCAAGCAGACTTATTCACAACATACACCATTAGCTCACATTACTTTATTTGTTTTATTTAATGAATGTATATATTCAGTAATTTTTGGGTAGTTCATGCTTTAGAAAGAACAGAATAATTCATATTAGAACAATTAAAAATTAATACAAAATAGTAGGCCTTTGCCTGGCACCAAAAACATATTAATATAAGCACCAGGTGAGTATCTCTGGAAAGAGATTTCCCTGAGCAAGCACCACAAGCTAAGTAATACTTTGGTGGCAGAAATATTTTATATTTTTGATCTGTCTGTGTACTGTTTTATAAGAGCCCTGTGAGTCAATGTACAGTCCCTGTAGAGAGACTAAAATAGGAAATGTAGAAATGCTAGTATTCACAACCTATTCCCCTGGCTCTCAGGATGGGGACCTTTCTGCATCATTTATCAGAATGTACTAATCCATCAGTATAAAATGAAATCAAATATCCTGTTAGCTTCCTTGTCTACGGGCAGCAAACTAAGAAGGTTCCGTAAGATCGGTGGAAGGTTTCCATTCATAGGAGAGACTTGCTGGCTTTGTAGAAAAACACGAGGCATTGGAATAACTCCTGGATCTCTCGCCCTCCCCACCAATTGCCCCTTTATTTGGTTGTGCATGTGCACCTCATTGTGCCACTGGAGAATGACCTGGTAGCAGGAGGTATGAGCCCTCATACCAAAGCAGGGATTAGTTGTGTGGGTGAAAGGGATACAGGCAGAGCTTGTTTCATTTCAGTGAGCACAAAGGTGAGTGGCAAGGGAACCAGTGCCACATCCTGACATCCCTTGGAAATGGGAGGCAAAATCCCCTGGGGAAGTGGAACTCCTCATTGCTTGAACATGTTGGGACCTAAAGTTTGAGAAACCCTGAGTTTAACTCATGGTTCCCATTGGGTGCCTTTCAATGTTACTTGGAAGGTTAGAGAAAGCCCCAAATATCCTGCAGCACAATGTGCTGGGATCATGGCCCAGCCTTCAGCTCCTTACTTGTTGCAGCTTCCAAAAACTCACAAAGGGCAGATTGTGGAGAATCTGATTTAGAATTTATTTTAAATAGCCGCAACAGAACAACATTAGAGTTAATTAGGCAACCAAGGGTTCCTGTTCAATATGTAGTATTATAGTTGTGCAAAATTACCCGGTTATGTTTAGCCCTGTGTCGACATGCTTATGGATGGCATGTGATTTGTAGCTGGATCCAAAGCCTTCAGAAAAAGAAGCATATCAAAGGCCTTGAGCTCCCATCCTGTATTGCTTTATTTGTTTGATAAATCCAAATTGGCTTCCAAAAATGTTCACAAACTATATTCAATGTTGTGCAAGTGGACTTCAGGTCTTATAGTGAGACTTTCCCATCGTCCCCTCCCTCCTGCAGTTCCTTGAATACCCTAAAACCTTCTCTAGAGGACCCCTTAGTCACATGAAGGCCAGGGAAATGAACAGGAGAAAGAAGATTGGCTCCAGTGGTATATGCCATTCTATCAGCAACAAGTGGTTGTTGTCCATTAAGCACAATAAAAATAGTTCAGATTACTAAAATCACTACTATTGCTTCCTGTTTGCAGAGTCATTTTGTGACCTGCAAATGCAAGTACTTTCTCATCTCTCAAAGATTTTCTGAGTTTATAAAGCAGGGAAAGAAATCTTATTATACAGTAGCACTTACCTCTGAGTTAGAACCTCTTGAATCTGTCTGTAAAGGAATCCTCTTCTTCCTGGGAGGAAACAACACTTGGAAACGATCAGAGGAGCCCCTTTAAAATGGGGTGAAGGAGTTTTTAATGATGCAACATTATACTCAAATATTCTAGCCTGATGGTGATGCTGACCTGAAAAAGCCAAGGATTATGGGTCCATTGTAAGCATGTTTGCATAGAAGTAAACCTGCAAAATTGTTGCACTATGCTGTAGACATACCCACTTTTTAAAAAAGCAAACAGACATGCACAATTATAGCATATACACGCACAAAAAAATGGGATGCTGAAATGGTGCTGAGAGAGGTGTTTCAAGATGTTGGGAGAATCAGGGAAGGAGAAAGGGACAGTCGTCCCATTTAACTATGTTGTGCCACAGAACAGTCAGTGCACACAGGGGTGCAGTTACACACACGACACACACATGCATGCACTCCTAGATCCCTTGAAGTATGGACCAGCCAGTGGGAATTCCACTTTCACCTTCCTAGTGATTGGCCGCACTCAGAACCCTTCACCCCAAAGCACCTTTAATTTCTAGACAGAGATGCCAGGGCTAAAACATCTCTGATAACTCCACCTGCAGTCTTTTCCTCTCATCTTTGGAATGGGGGCTGCCTTTTTAAGTATTTATGGAAGTACATTATGCACCTCTTGAGAGGCATTTTAATATATTTTCATTGATACAATCCAAGGTTGAGACTTGGCACAGAAAACAGGTGCCAGGGTTGTACACAAATTTAGCTCTGCAATAACATTCCGTTTGGTTTGGCATATGTTCCTAAAGTGGAAGGCATAGCGCCAGCCTCTTTCCTAGGCTGCAGTTCTCAACATTTTCAACACATTATTTATGTTTACCCTAGTTTAGGGATATGGAATAAACATTGTAAAATCCTGATTGTAACTATGCAGACTGTAAGTTGGCCAGTAATTGTTCTATATTTTCCTTTGAAGGAAGCCAAGCAAAATAGATTATTAAATAATGGCTTTAGCTTTTGGCCCCTTTGTTCTCTTCCCACATGTATTAGAAACTCTTTGTACTGTTTGATCTTGATAATTAGCAAAGTACTTACATCACTACAATTAATTGTTTGTAGAATAATTCTGCAGTTTTAGATCCATTGCATCTAAGGATGTCTAAATTACTGCTGCGTTGTTGTTGTTGAGTCTTTGGGCCAGCCCAGTATATTGTTTTAGAGTACTTTTAAGCCCTGCAAAAGGGTGCAGGAGAACAGGGACAGTCTGGGAAGACCATAAAGCAATCACAGGTTGAAGCAACCAATTACCAGAGTTCTCCTTAAGCCTCCGAGAAATGCACTGAAAGGCAGGTAAAATACATTGAAAATAAGGCAATAGCCACGTTTCTCTGTTCCAGATGTGAGCGGCTAGAAGAGCAGCTGAATGACCTGACTGAGCTCCACCAAAATGAGATTCTCAATTTAAAGCAGGAGTTGGCCAGCATGGAAGAAAAAATAGCTTATCAGTCGTATGAACGAGCCAGAGACATCCAGGTTAGTGCAAGTAGTATAATTTTCCACTTCGTAAAAATAGTGTCTGTTGATGCATATTTCCCAGAAATGTGGTTTATATTTGGATCTCCTTTAAAAACAGAATTGATTTGGTGTGTTCTAAATCCTGAATTACTTTTATCTCTATTTTTCTTACTAAAGAAGAAGGCATTAGGGCTGTTCACATCACATGGCAGACCAGCATGGGGAACCCATGGTTTGTTTTTGGTTCTGTGAGAGTTATTGGATGTTCACATAAGTCACTTGATTTGCACTGCATGAGAAGCTTGCATGGGGTTGTGCATGCAGTTTGGCGGTTGTGAGCATTGCAGTTCACTTAAGTTAATCCCCAATCAACTGAAGTGTGCCATCCAGTCATTGTTTAGGTGCACACAGTACATCAACCCATAGTGGTTCATTCGCCATGGTAGTTCAGCATGTTGTCTGAATCAAACACTCTTCCTGCAGGATGCTTTATAAGCTACCCTGATGTGGCTTCCAAACCAGCCCAGCTAGCCATGGCTTCTAGTAGGGACTGTCTATCAGACACAAAAGAGTTTAACCACAGTGCAAGATAAAAATTCCTGAGGGATTTTGTGAACCCGGCCATTGTGTATTTACCAGCACTGCCCTTATTAAACTCCTGATAAAGACAAAGCTTCTATGTAAAACTTCTTTTCTTTGCTGCCCAAGGTTCAAATGAGAGCTAGCTTTTGTCTTTGGATGAAGCTGTAATAAAGATCCTCATGTACTGGGACCAAAAGGCTGCACCCTGAAGGATGAGAGATTTTGATGGTATTGTTCTCAGAAAGCTGATGGCAGGAAGTGTCTGTCACTAATTTTAATGCAGTTGACCCCGATGTAAAATTAAAAACAGTAGCTGGCTTTGTGCATCCACTCTGCCCATTCCGGAAGCAACCTAATCGGTGCTGCTTGCCCAAATAAGGAAATATTTTGACAGAAAAGTTTTTGGTCTGGGTGAATGAAGTATTTAAAGTTCAAAAGTCTGGAAAGTTGGATTTAGAGAATTGCAGCTGCAGAGAAAATAACCTAAGCAAGCTCCTGTGCTCAAGCCCAAGGCTGACCACTATTGAAGACCTAGTTGTAAGTAGCACATTCACCTAAGCACTGGCACGCCAATGCTCTTCTGGTAACTTACCAGCAGCCAGGATGCCCAGTGTTTGGGGGAGCTGATTAGGCATGAAGGCAGCAGACCTTTGTGCCTAGAAAGTAGGTCTACCAAACCCAGCTATCCCCCAGAAAGGGCCGGGGGTGGGAGCCGAATATACAATTTGAAAGGGTGGCTATGGCCTTTCCTGTCAAACTGCTCCCTCCCACAGTGGTTTTTCTTCATGCCAAGCTTTGAGACTAGCAGTAAATTGAACCAGGAAAAATGCAGCTGAACAAAGAGAGATTGTGGAGGCAAAATCAGTTTAGACCTTCTTTAAATCTCTCCTCAGCTGTCTTAGAAAAGTGATTCTTAAGAGGTACGTATCAGGTGCAGCCAACAAATGCAGAGCTGCCTTTGTCTGCGCTCCTGCCCTTCTTCTGGGAGTGACAAGCACTTCAGCCACTGGCCATTGGGCAAATCTGGTGATTTGCAGTGGCTTTGCTTGCCGTGGCTAGGGCTCCTACAGCCCCTTAGGGGCAGACTTATTCGTAACCCCCTGCCTATCCCTACTACCACTACCACTATAAGGCTAGGCATCTTCATTACTGATATGACAAGAGCAGTTCTTGTTGTTTTGATTTTGATTGATACTCAGATGCAGATTGATCAGGAAATGAGGGAATTTTCAGTGTTGTGGTTGCACCAGTGACCTAAAATAGGTTTATTTACACCAGTGGCACTGTTGCTACATCAGCATACATGCATCAAGAGTAGAACTGTGACAGAAGTCCTTATACCACAGAATGCCACCATAGTTGCTTATCAGGTATATGAAACACAAGCATTTTTCAAGAAGGAAAATGGGCAGGTAACTGAAAATCATGCAGAAACTGGTATTAGTCCATTCTCTCTGCAAGGCAGCAGCTCCTCACTCCACCCACAAGTAAAGACCCCATGAGAAAACATGAAGTGGAAGACACCCAGTGCTTGCTGCTGTTGATCATTGCTGAGAGTAAATTAGGGTTGGGCAACTTCTGGCCTTCCAGATCCTTGGACCTACATCTTCCATGATGCCCCACCATTGAGTGCATGACCAAGATGGGTGGGAGTTGTAGGCCAAACTTTTAGGAGAGCCAAACATGCTCACCTCTGGGCTGAACCACAATCACTGTGTTCCTGTAATTCACAAAGCACTCTGAAGCATTGCAGTAAATAACTTCATATACACAACATTGTAAATGCAGGAATCAGCAAACACCAGCACAGGATCCCCTACTTATTATTAAGACCTGTTAAACTATGCAATTCAGAGAGGACTGTATTTTTGCTGCAGGATGTGAAACAAACAGGAGCTACTCACGCCCTGTGGAGTGTGACCAAGGCCCCAGGAATGCCAGAGGCACACCGCAGTATGTTCATCAGGAGCTCCCAGCGTGTTTAAATGAGGATGTGCCAAACCCTCGTCTTCATCATTACTGTGTCAGCCACCCTGGGTGCTTGCCACTTGATCTCATGGTCAGCAGACTGGAGCAATTCAGAATAGAATCCGGGCTCTCTCCTTTTCCCAATGTACTTGTGTACAAAAAGCATGTATACAGATGAAATGAAATGCAGTGCCATTACTGAACTATTCTCCTTTGCTCAACAGGAGGCACTGGAGGCATGTCAGACCAGAATCTCTAAGATGGAACTGCAGCAGCAGCAGCAGCAAGTTGTCCAGTTAGAGGGCCTTGAAAATGCCACTGCCAGAAACCTCCTGGGCAAATTAATCAACATCCTCTTGGCTGTCATGGCTGTTCTGTTGGTCTTCGTCTCCACCGTGGCCAACTGCGTTGTCCCCCTCATGAAAACTCGCAGCAGGACGTTCAGCACTTTACTTGTGGTGGTCTTCATTGCCTTTTTCTGGAAGCACTGGGATGCCATTACAGGCTACTTGGAACGGTTTTTTTCACCCCCTAGATGATATCAAGAAGAACTGGCTGTTGCCCCACCCACTCCAGCTTGCTCTGGCCAGTGCGCGTGGCAAAGCTTAGTCAGCTACTCCTTCCTCTGCTGAAGTTTTAAAGGTGTCAGAGTGTGAATTTGTTTACAGCTAAAATAACGTTTTCTCTCTACGAGACACATTGGCAATAGCGTTTTTTAGATTTTATTCAAGAGCTCTTTTTTGGCAGAAATCCTGGATACTTTTTATGTAGCATGGTTCTCTTTGGATGCAAATCTTAATATTCCTTAAGTGTGTATAAATAAAACACCAATTTGGAGCACACCAATGGGCAATTTAAATTATGGCTCAAAACTGCTGTACTAAACCTGTTGGGAAGAGGAAAAGACAATTACATAAAGCATAAAATTAATCTAGTAAACAGCGGTACCGTGATGATCCCATAATGCTACTGTGAAACCTAACTACATTCCATGTCCGAATGTAAAGCTTCAAGGTGGCTTTCTCTAGTTGAAGACCACTGTAATGCATGGAACTCCTTGGATCCGTTGCTGGGTTTGCTGCTTCCACTAACCTGGCATCCACCGTTTTTCTATAAGGCCAGTTAAACTTTTTGGCTTGGTATATGAAGTGGATGAGTTACACCATACACAGTTACTGCACAGTTGTACTACAGTATTTTGAAGTAGCCCTTTAAATACTTTAAGCAAAAGCCCTTGGTCGCACTTTTACTGTTTTTTAATATATGTATAGTCACAGATTTTAAAATCCAAATGGCATACTTGAAGAGTGTAATACTCAAACTCTCAGTGCTTCCTTATTGTTTCTAATAGGATTTTTTATTATTCTTATTGGGGGTTATTTTTGAACCTAGTGGTTGGGAGGGTCATCACCTTTTCCCCTTTAAAATAAAGAAGTGATGTTCTTAAATGAAGATATGTGTGAATAAATGTGAGCTGTCTTGTCCTGAAATAGTTCTGAGGAGGGCAGAAAATAGCTTCTAGTGCATTTAAATGCAGACCTATACAGATGTATCGGTGTCCTCCTTAACTTACAGAATGATGCAGCATCATGAAAAGAGATCCCCTTTCTCCTCCTATCAGTCTTCACATAGTTCCTTTTTATTTTATTGGGAAGGGAGCAAGGAGTGTTGAAAAACTCTTCCCTGGATCTGCTGCATCTAAACTTGAACATTTGCATGAGGGTAAGAAAATCTTTGTCTGAAAGGTAATTTTTTAACAGCAACTCAGTGAGTGAGCTGAAGTTCTGTTCTGAGAAAAGCAACTGGTACTTGGCCATCTTGATCTCACTGATAATACATAGGACTTAAACTTTCCAGTTTAGGCTCCTGAATACCAAAGTTGGGATTGTAACTGGGATAATCTGCATCCAGTCAACTTTGGGTCTGTTCAAAAGGTTACCTTGTGTCTTTAAGGAATGAGTCAATGCTTGAGGAAACATCAGGGCAAAAGTCCAGTCCTTTAGATATTTGCAGTTAATTTATTATTCAAATAAACCCCTGATAATTGAAGCCAAAGTTGTCCTATTAGCAAACTAACAGTTTGGTGTTTTTCATGTTTAGACACACACACACACACACACACACACACAAACACACGGTATCCTACAAAATCCCGTTTGAGTTCCCTGCCTGATCCCGTTTGAGTTTATCCTGCATGGTATGTTACAGAAAGAGCCTCTTTCCCTCTGCAAATAATAACACTTGGTACAGCTTTCTGGGTGGCTGGTCTTACAATACCAAGAAGTGGGGAAGACAGAATTGCCAGTGGCTTGTGCTGCTTCCTCCTGCAACCTTGTTACTGCACATTGCTTTGCTTCTGACATGCAAACAGGAGTTCATGCAGATGCCCCCACAGAGCTTGTCCTGATCAAGACGTGCATCAGAAGAGAAGTGGGATAAGGAGCAGCAAGATGTACTTGTACTTCTGCTTTCCCTGCTTTGGAAAAATGTGAACTGGTCCTGCGATTAAGAATGTCAGTTAAATTTGTGACTCTTTGGCCATACTGTCACGTCTTTCTGCAGCTTTTTTTAGTACAGGCCTGTAGGGCTGGTATCTATGGCATTCAGAGTCATTCTTAATTCTAGTTTCCTGTTTTCACTGTTGAAAAGAGTGTTCTTTTAATATTGTGGAATTCAATGACTTACAGTAATGTATCCTTGGCTAGTGTTCTGTCCAGGACTCGAACAATGCCTAGGTGACCTAAGATGATTTGGAACAGGGAATGCAGGAACTCTTGCTGTTAGGACTTTGTTCTTTAGAACTATGTTTCCATCTCCTTTGCATTCATTAATGAAACTTACTCTTTTGATTGGTATCAGCAAGCACTGGGAACTTTCCCTCTGCCTAATCATAATTCAAGAGATTCAGCAGATTTCCAGTACCACAGCTCTTCCTGGATTCAGAGTCATCATATGAATAACACTGAGCAAATACCTGCTTGTCCTTCTAAGGAAATAAACTGCCAGTTTCAACAGACTCATGCCAAAAAAAAAAAAAAAAAAAAATCCCCTTTCCTTATCTAGAACCGGTTTGCTAGTGTTCCCATTACCTTTTATCTTGATCTGCCATGACAAAACTCTGTTGAGATTATACCTGCTGTGCAAGCAATATCACAGAATCAGAACTATAAGCACCTCACTGTCCCTCCTCCTTCCCTCTTTCCCAATTGTTATTATGACAAATTAGCTAACCAGCAAGGGCAGGCTGCTGGCTGCAACATGAAGTGCTTAAAGTGGGTTTTTTTCCAGAAACATAGACCCTGCTACCATCCTAGGATCATTGAAAGTACATAGAATTCACTATAGATAACTTAGCCAGGGTTCAAGTCAATAGAAAATACATGATATATGAGCACTGTGGTAGTCCTCAACAGCTAAAGTCTAAAGGGATGTTTTTATTCTTCCTTTGTTCCTATTAAAAAATTGGCTACAACTTCTTCTGGCTAAATAAATTGTCTTGTTTAACCAAAGGAAAATAATTGATGGAACCCCCAGTCTCCAAAACTTTTCTGTTGAAGGGCCTTTGTCTTGTCATTACAAGCCATTCTCAGTATGTTTCCAGTTTTAAACATTTGCTGTCGATGCTGTGTAAAGTTGCATCTAGTCTGTTGACTATCCGAATATGATTCTTGTGTTGTCATTTTCCCTTTTTTGCTTATAGAACATACATTTCCCCCTCCTGTTGGTCTGAAGGGCTGTGACTATATCAAACTGTTTAACAAATGTTAACTGTTTGAAAATGTGAATCTAGCTTTAAAACTCCCATTCCCTTTGCAAGTGCTGTATTCTTTCTCTTAAAGGTGAAGCATTCCTGGATGTCTTCTTAAAGGCGGTGTCTGCCAATGAGTGCATGTGTGTGTATGTAACATTATTATTATTAGTACTACTACTACTACTACTACTGGTATGGCCCTCAAGTTGTGGAATTTTCCACAAAAGTTCCTCTTTGGATAGGATGACATGTTTAATGTATTCATCATATATCTGGTGATCACAAAGAGGACCAAATGTAGCAGATTGCTTCAGTGGAAAGGAAAATAGATATATGAACACACTTTCTATTATTAGTAAGATATTTTGTCCTTTCCCTACTACCGGAAATATTTTTGAAAGGACTGAAGTGACTAGTTAACCATGTTTATAATCTTTTTCTTCCTTTCCTCCCCTGCAAAATGATACTGAGTATATTCTGAGTATACACGCCATGATGATATTGAGCATGTTCACAGTAGTTACTTAATTGGTTTATTCCAACCTTGTGGACACCTGAGAATCAGATTTCATTGGGGAGTTTTATAGGTTGATGCACTGGCCAAAAGGAGGCAAATTCTTTCAACTATTGGAGGGGTTGGACCGTGGAGGGGTAGGACCGTAGGAACAAAAGTTGCAAGCAGTACGAACAGAAGCCAACTGATGAAGGCAGGTGGCTGGGTGCTTATCCTGGTGGGGTCATATGTTGGTCCTAAGAATTTTGAACGTGGCTAAAGAGGTCTACATGTGTGCGTGTCAGTGTTGTGTATGCCAGGTGGTGTTGTGCATTAGTAGGCAACTGACATAGTTGTAAGTGTGGTTTTTTAAAAGTATAAAATGAAAACTCACTTGCACGGGATGAAGAGTACAGAAATGACACTTGTGAAGGTAACACTGTAGTTTATAGATCTTTTAAGCTGCTAATTGTTGAGAGGGATTGACAATTGTCTTGTCTGGTAGTCACAGGCTTGTCTGTGACACATACTGTATATAAAATTAAATAAAAACCTCAAATATTAACTTCTGTGCAAGTTTGGTGTTTCGAACAGTTGGAAGGGGAAGAGAGTCACACAGTTGTCACACCTATGTGAATACAAGTAGCATGGTGAAATGTGGCATGTTTGGTTGCCCTGAATCCCCATGGGGAAAAGTCTGTTCTAAAGAATGGTCTGGGCAATCTGTACATGTTTCTGCAAGCTTGTTTTCAACTCAAATTTTCAATGTCATTGGCTGAACAGATCACTCCCTAAAATCCACATGTGCACACATATTTTGCTACATTGGCCCATTCAGCAAAACTACTCCAAAAAACAGAAGAGCAAGGAGGGGAAATTAATGGACTGAAATACTGGGTCCTTCCACCTTTACTGAAACAGAATTACAATTTCTTCTTTTGTATATCTTAATTCAAGGTACATACTGAAGATGAAACTCAAATACTTTGGCCACCTAATGAGAAGGAAGGACTCCCTGGAGAAGAGCCTAATGCTGGGAACAATAGATGGGAAAAGAAGAAGGGGACGGCAGAGGATGAGGTGGCTGGATGGAGTCATGGAAGCATGGGGTCGCGATGGGTCAGACATGACTTCGCGACTAACAACAACAATTCAAGGCAGCATTATCAAAATTGAGCTTTGTATCTGTGCTCAACTATTATTTCAATTTGTTTACTGCTACAATGGGTCGTACCTGGGCTTTCTGTGCAGTTTATACTGATTAAAACATAACATTCTATAATCAACTCTAAATCAACATATTCAAAACATAATAGCATAATCTAAATTTAAAAGGACAATGCATATTAAAATATTACATAAAAACATTAGAATAAAACCATTTAAACTAAAATCAACTAAAAACCAGAAATAGGGTCACTTAAATTCAAATTATTGCTATTATTAAAATAACTGGAGAAGAGAGATGTCTTCCCCTGGCACCAGAATAACAGCAATGGCACCAGGCACATCTCTCTGCAGAGCCGATTCCAAAGGTGGGGTGCAATCACTGAGAAGGCCCTCCTTCTAGTCATCAACCCCCTCACCTCTCTAGGGGATGGCTCCTTAAGAGGGACTGCCTAACTTGATTTAATGGACAGGTAGGGCCATATGAGAGAAGGTGATCCTTCAGGTACTCAGAACCCAAGCTTTACAAACACTTTAAATTGGGTCCAGACTTCTACTGGTAGCCATTGTAGATGATGTAAAAGTGGTTTGATATGGGCCTTGAAAACTAGTTCTTGTCAACAATCACTTGGCCCTATTTTGAAGCAATTGGAGTTTCTGGACCATCTTCAAAGGCAGCCCCTCATAGAGTGCATCGCCATGGTCCAACCGGGATGTTACCAGAGGCAAGTTTTGTAGAGATATGGCCACAGTTAGCTACATTTGAAAGAGAGTGCTCCTGGCCATCAAGTCCACTTGGACTCAAACTTCAGACCCTACTCTTTAGGTGGGGCATGACTCTGTTCAGGAAACAGTATAGGCCATTCAGCCCATCTGCCCACCAACAATGCATCTGTCTTGTCTGGATTGAGCCTGTTCATTGGCCCTCATCCAGTCCATTATCAAAGGCAGGCATCAGTTTGGGACAGACACAGTGTCACCTGGATTTAATGTAAAAGAGAGGTAGAGCTGAGTACCATCCGTATATTGCTGTGATCTCAGATCAAACTTTTGATTTACCTTTCCAGTGGTTTTCTGTAGATACTAAAGTGCATGAGGAATAGTATAGAGCCCTGTGGAACCCCTTGGTATATTTGCTATCTTGCAGTACTACCTTCTGGACCCAGTCAGCCAGGTAGCAGCAGAACCACTGCAAAGTGGTGTCTCCTACCTGCACCCCGGCCTGTCTGTCCAGAAGGACACCATAGCTGTTGGTGTTGAAAGACACTGAAAGATCCAGGAGAACCAACAGGGTCCTGCTCTCCCTGTCTGTCTTCTAGCAAAGGTCATCCCACAGGGCAACCAAGGTTGTATATACTGTGAAATATATACAGATGACCTAACTGGTAATTATAAGGCTGAAAATCAGCTGTCCTCCTCTGCAAGGCCCACAGGGTACTGGTAACTCACAAAAGCTTCAAGTGCAGCTCCTCTTGCTCCACATTGCTACTTAATCTGACAGCAGCATGAGGTGGGATGAATTCACAAACATGTATACAACTTCTAGAAAAAGCTTCTAAAAATAACACATAGTATTAGGCACCAGCCAGATTCTCTAAGATGTTCCCAGCAGTAAAGGGTAGGTGTTGGAGGTGTAATAGTAGATGAACTTTTGTTCCATAGAATATTGGAAGATAATAAACAGCACAAGATAAATTGCAGGCTATAAATTGCAATTAACCCCAACAACTATATTCCTGTGTGATATTAAAGACTAGATCCCCAGAGATTTAGTGGTGATGGTGAATTGCTGTGATGGTGAACAAGACTGAAGGCCATTGCTGCAATATTCATTAATTGCCATGGTCCTACCATATCTCACATCCTGTTGTCACCGCCTGCCCATATAGATTATTTCCAAGCAAACTGGAAGATGGCCATAACAGCTGTTCAAAAATGTAGCTACACCCCAGCATCTGGCTCCAAGTGAGGAATCCTTAGAGTGAGGTATTGTGGGAGGAAGTGTAACCCTGGACATCCCTTCCACACTTTCTGCTGTATAGAAGGACCACTTACTTGGAGCCAGACCCCAGAAGAGCTGTGCCAGCAGCTTTTCCAGCCAACTGGAGTTCAACTACCAATAGATCTGGTGGCAATAAGGGAGTGAGAAGGGAGACAGGGCTGGCAGGGGATGTGGCTGCAAAAAGAGGAGGAAAACAGAGGGGAAGGGCAGCTGTCATACTGCATTTTCTTTTTTCCCAAATTGGCCCCCACTTGAAAAATAGTGAACACCACAGCTATAGGTTGGTTATGGTGGACTAGAGTTCTTACCAGCTCTAGATAACGTTGTCAAGTGGGAAAGGAGACACTGTTCAACAGCATCCAGAAAGTCACATGTTCCCCATCTTGGCTTGTAAAATATTTAGAATTTCCTCTGAGCTACTCTGAAGTCTGTTTTATCTCTCAACAGAAAGAAAACAAGGCTGGTTTTTAACGTATTTATTAGTTATATTTATATTCTACCTTTCCACCAAGTAGTCCAAGGAGGTATGCAGTTTATCCACAGTCCATTCCTGCAAGGTAGGTTAGTTGGCTGCAAGCCATGGCCAGATGATGATGATGATGATGATGATGATGAGCTTCATGGCCAAGCAGAGAATCAACTCAGTTTTTAAGAGTGTAGTCCAGCATATTTAACCACTTACCAAACACTGGCTCTGAAGCTGACTGGATGTTTGAGCCCTGTGGGGCAAATATTAAATCCAATTTTAAAATGTTAAACATACCGCCACTGTATTTGTAAACAGCTATGTAGACAAGAACCTAGGGTTTTTTACAATTTAAAACATAAAGCTTATCTATTATTTTGCAGACTGCATAAAATGTTTTGGGACTACCTCGCCTATGGTGAGAGGTACATACCACATACTTGTGTATGTGATACACTACGAAGTCCCAGTTAGTTCAAAGTACCTCCCCACATTAACCTTTAACTTCTGGTTAAAAATACCTATTTGTCTTCCTTTGGCTTTTCTCGATCTCCATGTACTGCTGGTCTTGCACACCATCTGGTGGTGCAATATCATCTTTGCTGCTATTTGTTTTATTTCCGCAGCTCCTCTGCGCTGGCTTTCATTCATGCCAGTCGCCACCCTGCAAGCAAGTATTTGCAGGGTACCATAAACAGGATGGGAGCAGGGACCTGCGGTGTGTGAGCCACAGCCCCTCCCCCACACCCTCTTCCACATTTGTGGAGGGAGAACTTGCTTGTGGACATGGGTCCCTCTGAGGTTAGACTCTAATTCCAAGATCTGAGATGAGATTGTCACCCCTGTTAGATCTGCTGCCTGAGCCCTTCCCCAGCACAGGCTTAGCCACATTGCCCTGGTCTGGCTGGGGCTGACGTGTGGAATGTCTTCCAAAGACCTAAAGCTGGGCAGGTGGGTCACTTTGATGCAATGATATTTGGTACTACTTTTTCGGTTAATCTCATTCTGGAAAACCATTTGTGCTATCTGGAATAGAAACAGCAGAGAAACCTGTAAAATTGTTTTCTTTATATATTTCCTGCCTATTACGTGAAATGCTTGAGGCAGTTTATTATGGGTTGGCTCCAAGATTGCCCTGAAAGCAAAGGCTTCATTTGCAGAAAATTCCTCCAGCTGATTTTTGCAGAGTCCATTCTCCACATCACTCAGCAACTCACCCCATCCAGCAAGGCTTCCTGCTTCTTGCTGTAGCCTTTTGGAGGGAGGGGGCGGGGGATGGTGGCAGGGAAGTCCAGTATCTGGATCCAACCCAGAATATTGAAAACACAATGAAACCGAGTTCCTTGAGAGCGCCAAAGGAAGGAGCGCACAAGCGCCTTCCCGGAGGAAACGGTCCCAGCCTGGGAACGGCGTCGGGGGAAGGCGCTCGTCCCGCGCGAGGTGGGGCCTCCCTGGCGCATCCAGGCGGCGGCAGGGCCTTCCTGCAGGCCGCCGCCCGCCCCTTCCCGTTCCTGTCCGCAGAGGTTCCACCTGCAAAAGTAAGCAAAACACAAGCCTATAGAATACGACGAGGTGGGTGTTGTTGTCAGAAGAAAAACTGCAGCCTCCCCCCGCCCTTCTATGCCTCTCCTGAAGACAGGGACACTTTCTTAGAGTTTCACGGGGCCATCACGCTGGCCAGTCAGGAAAATCCCGCTCGAGTTCCCTGCCGGATGCAGCCAGACCCGTCGTACCGTTGGCTGTGGCTGACACCTGGTGGCCGTGAACACTCATTGTCCTACAGGCTCCGTTGCACGACTAACCCGAAGAAGGCCGTGGCTCCGAAACGGTTTCCCTCTTAAGGGAAGCCTCGAGCTACCGATGGGACGTGACTCTCCACCATAGCTGCTAAAGAGGCAAAAACCTTACAGCAGCATCCTTCCGGAGGTCG